AATTTCCTCTTTAAAGCAGGTAGCTCTCAGTTTCAGGCTTCTTATCTTGGATCTTTCCCTGCCCCTAAGATCGCCCGAGGCTGTCTTCCCGGGGGTTTTCGAACTCTGTCAAGTGGCTTGGGTAATGGGGTGTGGTTCTTTTAGGGTTTTGGATGGTTCAGGTCTTGTGGTGGCTGTCCTAGGGTACTTTGGTTTTCGTATGGTTTTCTAGATCAGGATTGGGGTGTCTACAGTTTCCCTTCTTTTGTCGCTTGTATCGCAGGTGCATGGTGCGAGACCAGGAGACAAAGAAATAGACACCTGGGACACAGAGTTAGAATAATACGGAGGTGAATAAGGAGGGCACACGAATGGTGCAAAACAACGTCATTTTCTCGAAAGTCCAATATCATTCAACCTGTGGTGCCTGTGATCTCCAAGGACCTGGAGTTGAGCTTAACCCGTAGTTTAAGGTGATTACTACACCTTCCATTTGTTAGCTAAGGTCGTGGTGTTAAGAGTTCCGAGGAAAGGCGAGTTTTGAAACAGATGGTGAAGTGGTTTACATGGGAAGATGGAGAAATTCCAAGCGAGTGAACCATAGATAACCTCGTGCCCCTAGAGGTTTCCTAGGTTTAGGGCTACTTTTTGTGGGTTTGAGACTATTTTTAGGTTTTTTGAAGGATGGTGTTTTTCGCGGGGCATTTCTCTTTCAAGGTTTTGGCAGCTTTTTGTACACTCTAATCATCATTACCGAGACGGATCCGACTCTTTTGTTTTTAAAAATATTTCTTAGAGGATTTTTTAAATCCAAGAGAGGTTTTTAGAAATAGATTTTTGACACAAGGACATGGTTTTAATCAAAATAATTAAGGTTTTTGAAAATCACATACACATAATATTGAGAGTATCTAGATTAGGGTTGCCCCTGTATCTAGGTTTGAGAATATGTAAAGATTTTTTTATAGACGGCATGGTTTTTGGCACCATGGGGCTATTTAAAGACGATATTTTGAAGCTAAAAATGGCACAGGGTTTAAGCTCATACGATCAGGGAGCTAACTAACTAAGCAGTATTATATCATGCAGTGATGGACATAATTGCAAAGATATGCCGTTGTCCCTATCGAGCACCGTCGGGGGCCCCATTGGGACACTGAATTTTGGGGACTTTTGCGTCTGGGACATCCGGTTTATCTGGCCAAGATTTGCTCTCTTGCCTCTTTTTGAATCTGGAAACTCTTCGAGGGTCCAATGAAGCTTTCTTGCACAAGTCGGTCTGATACATTTGGCAATAGTGTCAACGAAGTTGACAACACCATTTTTACCCTGAGGGTATTTTGGTCATCTAGCAGTGTTCGACACACTCTTGGCAATTCCGTCAAGGCGGGAAGCCGCAAGTTCCAGACCTGCAAATCCAGGTCCCAATTTCAGCTCCTAAGTATTGTGATCTTCAGTGTAAGTGATCGCTTTTCAATGGAATTGGCAACAACATTAATGCATATGCTAATTTTGTCGGATCCTCCAACCCTGATCCTATAAAATGGAGGTCCCGGAGTTCATCAGGTAGCACATTTCACTACTTTCGAACTTCTTTTTTGGCTTAGTTTTTCGCTTTCCATTCAATTTTTGAAAATGTTCGAGCCCCGTCACCTTGACTCGATAGGAGGATATTCCCTCCTTTAGTGAGTCTCAGCCCTTCCCTGAGGAGGGGTTGCCAACTCATGTTGCCTATGATCTTCTTGGTGGCGAGAGGCCGCAACGGCTTCGAGATTATCCTCTAATCCCAGGCTGGTTTCAAGAATAGTATGATTCCGTTCAGGTTTGGGTGGAATTGGGCACTTTTGTCTATGATGGGGGTTTCTCTCATGGCGAGAGTCCCATGTCAATTTTAATTTGCTCAAGGCATCGCTTGAGCGGTTCAATTCGCTTACCAATACATTTTTTCTTCCAACTGGTGAGGCCAAGCTTACCTTAGAAGAGCTGGCTCGAATTTCGGGGCCCCGGCTTACCAAAAGCCCCTACCATCTCCTATTGACGCTTACCTTAGAGGAGCTGGCTCGCATTTCCGGGCTTCAGCTCACCGAAAGCCCCTACCATCTCCTATCGGAAATTGATGACCATGCGCCTTTGGGTTATCGCTTCCTCGGTATTAGGTTTCCTCCTAGAGTCGAATGGATTGACCTGGAAACCTTGGTTCATGTCAAAGCACAAGGGTCTTCAGAGCTTCAGGTTTGGACCTTTTTCTTTTGCTTAGTTGGCCTGGTCATAGGACGTTGCTTCTTCGCTTATTCCTCTTGCAGTTAGTTGCCTTTTGGGACAATCATGAGTCCCAGCTATTTTGGCTCGGATATTACGAGGTCTTTATGAGCAGGTCACTCACAGGAGCCGACATCTGCCTCGGGGAGTGTTATTCTTGCATGTACATGCTTCACTTTTTACTTTTCAAACCTCTCTTTTTTTTCTTTTTCTTTTTTTTTTTTTAACGGATAGATTTTGGCCTATGAGCATATTGCAGTATCTGATGCTTCACTTTCTACCTTTTTTTTATTTTTTATTTTTTATTTTTTCTTCTTGTGGGTAGATTTTGGCCTATGAGCAGATTGCAGTATCTGATCCGTATAGGCATGGATTATTGCTGTGGAGACGAGGAGTCTAGCGTACAAAGATGATGAAACCATACCCTTACACCTGGACGAATATCGGAGTGCCCTACACAACCTCTCTGAGTTTGACTGGTACATACGAGGTTTGGATCTCTCTCTCTCTCACACACACATTTTGAACAATATAAAGTAGTGAATTAGTGATTTCAAACTTCCCATCGGTGTGAGTGAGTACGCCTTTGAATTTACACCGTCCATGCTTTTATCTATGGGACAACACTAACTCCTTAAAAGATCTGATTTATGATGTGTGGATTAAGAGTTCAATTATTGGCTTCCCTTTGTATTTTTTGACACTCTATTTATTGTGGTTTTAAGTTCATAACAGTTGTGAGTCATTGAGCTTTGAATTTGTGTTGTTAATGATGTGTATTAATGATAACAAAGTTACATGTACAGTCTATGTAAAAATTGCTTGTGTGTACCAGATGTTTAGGATTTTGTATCGGGACTCCATTGAGCAGTTATTTTGAGTTTGTCAAGAGGTATTAGAGTCAAAACTAGTTGTATTGTTTAGGTGTAACAATTGTAAAATTGTATTTGCACTTGCATGTGCATGTATTGGTTATAAAATTTTAAACTACATTCACAGGTCAAAGTATTGTATACAAGAATATCCTGCCACCTATATCACAACAATATTGCCATACTCATTTTGAATTATAGTGAGTAAATCATACAACTAAAAGACAAAGCAAGTGCATACAATATGAATGTTACGGACATGAAACTCAATGTTTAGATTGATGGTGGAAAGAGTTGCATTCCTTATATCGTATAACATTTAATTGTTTTTATCAGGGTCTTGAAATTTGCCCAACTCTAGAGCGGGTCAATTGGACCTAGCAAGGAGCCGGGTTGGAGTGGAAACACAAGGGAAACGGCTCTGTTCCAAGGTTGTTAATTTTTTAGAAAATTATAAATACTCCCCATTATGTACTTTCTAGCCATGTCTTCCCCAATTTAACCCATGTTTGATTTTTTTTTTTTTTTTCACCGAATATATATCCATTTTAACTCACGTTTCTCTCATAAAATGTGATGCCCCACATGTGCCGATCCGGCACATAAGTGTGTCAAACTAGCTTCCTTATTTTCAAAATATGTTGGTTCGGCACAAAATGTGCTAGACCACCAGACCGGCTACTCACAAAATGTGTCGGTCCGACAAAAATGTCGGACCGACTTTTGTGAATAATATTTTGCCAATCTAGCACCACATGCGTCGGACTAGCTTATTTTGAAATCATGCATGTCCGGCACATTTATTGAAGTTGTGAGTGGCACAACTTAGAGGGAGAAAATGGGAGCATGATAAGAAATCGATAAAACAAGGGTTAAAATGTGGGTATTTTAATACAAAAAATCAATTTTTTTACTTGAAGGGTTGATGCAAAACCTGATAGTGTAGTATCAAAAGCATTGAAGGGTCATACCTAGAAAGCATAAATTTGGAGATATTTATAATTTTTCCTTAATTTTTTAATATTCTACCAAGTCTCACTTTCCCACTCAAATCCTGGCGTGCCTACCCAGTTCCATGCCCAAGTTTTAAAACATTGCTTTCTATAAGAATGAAAGAACACCAATGGGATTGTAACCCAATATCCCTCCTCTCTGTAAATTATTTACCCTTGAACCCTCTCTCACAAACCTATTGTATCCCAATTGAGATAAGGTCCAACCAATGTTACATGTATCTAGTCTAAGAGTCTTGTACGTGAATGTCAATACTTTCCAACACATTTATAAAATTAATAATGACAATATTATTATTGTATATAAATTGTAAGTTGCTAAAATAGTTCAACTAAATTGTATATATATTGTACGTTAATAAATAGTTCAACTAAAACAAAGCGTACTCAAAACCCAGATGTTAATCTTTTTAATGGTAAAAAAAATTACAAAAAAAAATAAATATAACCACAAGGAAAGTATATGGGTAGAATTCGAACTCCGAATCACAAGGTGGTTTGATATCAACTCTACTGCCCTGACCTTAGGCATATGTGTTTAAAATAAGTCAGACATATTTAATGTATAACACCAAAAAAAAATATTCAAAGCGCTCTGTAACACTGGTTCCAACCCAATTCCATTCGAAAACTAACGCTTCTATATCACCCATTCTAAAGTTACTACGCGCCAGGAATAGAACCATCTTAAATTTAAAAGTGGCGCACAACCTGTAAATTTGACCAAATTCCACCCATAAAGACTGAGCATAGATCATAGGCATATTATATTACATTGTCATGCACTGAAAGCTGTAAATTTGAGCGACTTCCATATTTTCAGACTTATCAATTACTAGGAGAGAGAGAGAGAGAGAGAGAGAGTTCTGGCCCGAAATTTACAACTGAAAGAATCCCGCTCAGCTTCATTAAAGTACTGTGTGACTGGTATAGCCCACTGCTTATACTTCAATCATAATTCAAACAACAGACCATATGAAACATACATATTTTCTCTTTAAAGACTCGCACTATAGTAATGGATGGTCTGACACAAGATAATATATACCAGTTCCCAAAGCCCATACCCAAAATTTTTATCTACCTATAAAATCCAGAAGTGAAATAATAAGATCCTCTGCAAAGGGAGATGAAAGAGCTCGGTTTCCAACAGAAATGGAGAGGGAAACCAAATATACTTGTTCCTGAACAATTTGCAAAGCGAGTTTTGAATACCAACCATTTACTCCTTGAAATCATCCTTGTCATTAGCGGGAATTCGCCTGTTCCTCCAAAAGACAGCAAGAGCACTTCCACCCAACTGTTAAAGAAACCCAAACAAAGATCCATGCATAATTTATCATTAAACCGTACCATATCGCAGTGGATACTTTAAAACCATAGTCTACTCGGGTCATGACCGTCCATTGAAATAATGGACAAACCATCCATAATTTAATGGTCATGGACCCTAACGGACTATGGTCCTAGTATACTCTCCCTACTCAAAAAGCAGTTAGCTACAAATCAGGAAGATAGAAGGAGCTCTTAAGTTATAAAAAATCATACCGCCATACAGACGACACTAACAGCTGAAGGAACAGCAACAAGAGGATTCGTGAAGTGTTTCTGAGCCAGTAAAAACCCTAGTGCTGAGCTCTGCAGAAACAAGAAAGAGAACAGGTTTCGAGCATTTCAAAGTGAGAGCTTTCAAAAAAATTTCAAATATAAAAACATGTGAACCTCATGATATATATATATATATATATAGAAAAGTCTTCCCAACGCCTATAGGCAAAAATGAACCCTCATCACCATCCAAAGTTCATCACACGGTCACGATTATCCAGTAGTGTTTCAATTTTCTTTTTTTTTTTTACAAATAGGAATGATCTGAAATTTGGAGCGTGTGTACATCTTAGTGAGGAGTACCTAATAAAAATATAAAAATAATAATTCGCCAAAAAAATAATTGACCAAAATACCCCTAAAACTTTTTGGGGGTATTTTGATCAATTTATTTTATGTAAAATATTTTTTTGATATTTTTCGTAGATTCGCCTATTTTTTATGAACACACGCTCTAAATTTCAAATCATTCGGATTTGAAGAAAACAAATGAAAAATAAAACACTACCGGACAATCGCGACCGTGCGATAAACTTTGGATGGTGAAGAGGGTAGGCGAAATCACCGTTCATTTTTTCTTATAGGCGATTTCTAGTATCTTCATATATATATATATATATATATATATATATATATGAAATGTTGGCGTGTAGGCCCACTAGCATAGAACTACATATAGGCCTAATGGTCAAGATTCAATCTGGATCAATCTGACGAACACGACTTCATTTCGTATTTTAATTTTAATTTTTTTCTACAAATCCAAATCACTTGAAATTTTAGGCGTCTAATCTTCTCATCAACACGTACCTAATAAAAATATTAAAAAAAATAATTCAATAAATATAAATTGATCAAAATACCCCTGCAATATTTCGAGGGTATTTTAGTTAATTTATTTTTCACA